GGGCAATCAAGAAGCCGGGTGGTGGGTAATGACACGCCGCCTGGCTCCCTGATTGCCCGGGAAGCCGGCTCAATGCTACCGGAAGTACCGTTATCGGTACTTGGTATCGCCGAGTACCGAAATATAAATATCTGTGCTCGTGCTCAATACCGAAAAAGTTACTATGTCAGAGTTGAGCTTTATTTGGTATTATAAAAGATGTATTCAATACAAGTAGCTCTCATTACATTCAGTTTGCAGAGTACACTGGTAAATATAAAAAATACCCATATTGTGCCGCCCCAATAGGGGGATAGAATATGAGATGCATAGCCTCAGTTAATATTAGCATTGTAATATAGATAGAAGTTTTACATAGTGTGTTTGCCTATATATTTTCTCATAGTTAAATCCATGTGTTATCCTATGCTGCCATCTAGTGGCCTTTTGTTGTAACAAACATGTTTTTTTGTAATTATTCCTCATGTGACGATGTATTTCCCCCTAGTGTACGCCCCTTCCTTCTTCCTGTGTGCAGTACTTCCTGTGTCATGGCCACAGCTACTAGCCACATGTAACAAGGTCACACATGTAATCTGCACAGTACGGAGGAAAGGCATCATTTTCTGACCGCACAATACTATCATCTGCTGTAATCCTGATGTAAAGAATAAACACCTCTTTTGAAGAGGTAAACAACGAGGTATAATCTGGAATTCTCCTGAGGAGTCTGTAACGGAAAATAGAAAACTTTCCTAAATGGACAATGAAGGTTGGGAGCTGGACTGATGAAAGGATATCCTAAATGGACACCATAGGTAAGACCCCCAGCCAAGATTCAGCACGCTGTCCACATAGAAAGAGGTCATTATGAAAATAAATTATATTGGAACATTTATAGGCTGATTGATGAACAAAATCTTTTAGACAACTTAGCTGGAACTTCAAACGCGTCCTGTTTCTTTTCTGGAAGACCGCATAATGTATACACAATCATGTTGTCCACTGTTGGTACTGCGTGTGGAGAAGGAAAGGGGGAGGGGTTACTGTTAGAGTTGGGCTTTATTTGGTATTATAAAAGATGCATTTAATACAAGCAGCTCTCATTACATTCATTTTGCAGAGCGCACTGGTAAATATTAAATACCCAAATGTCATATTTAATATCAAATTTAAAAAAATTCTACTCCTGATTATTAAATATAAAATCACTTTACTTTCCTTTTAACCATGCGAACAAAAGTTTGTCCTTGTTCCAAAAGGACTGAGGATATTACAAACTATGCTGTAGCTATTATGAGTTGTAGTCGGGGCAGAGTTGCATTGTACGTGAACAGGGTATGGTATGGAATTCTCCTGAGAAGTCCGTAACGGAAAATGGAAGACTTTCCCAAGATGGACAAGGAAGGTTGGGAGCTAGACTGATATAGGGTGTCAAGTGTAGGCACCATAGGCTAGGCCCTCTGCCAAGATTAAGCTCTGCTGTCCCCATGGAAAGAGGTAATTATGAAAATAATTTATATTGGACCATTTCATAGGCTGATTGATGAACAATTTTTTTTTTTACCAGCACCCGGTCTAGTTTAAACTGTATTTTCTAATGCCCTTGACAGGACTCTCTTGGCATCGTCAGCAATGTCTTTCAGTAAGCTGTAGAGCAGCCAGTATGCCGTACCAAAGGCCACACCTCCAGCAGCCACGCTTCCAACCAGAGGCACTGCCCCGGCCGCATAATCTGTCACCATGAGTGCCGCCTTAGTCAATTCTCGTCTGTGCATAAAGTTGACAACCTCATGATAGGTTATCTCCTTCAAGACCAGCTGGGATCGGATCACGGACCTCAAGTCATGGACATCTTTATCAAACGTTGTGGCCAGACAGTTAAGAGATCTTTGGTCCAGTCCAAATGCCTCCTTGTATTCCCCTATAGTGTTTACCAAGAGGTCAATATCATTATCAACCGAGAGGCCCGGAATCGGGAGCAAGGCTTTTGCCGCAGAGGCTAGAGCGTGTTTCCATATCTGGTTTCTGAACACGTCCCTTTTACTCTCTAGGGCCTGGAAGTAAATGTTGGGTAAGGTGAGAAGGAACACGTGCCTCTTGTGACTCGGAAGTTCGTTCTCCAATGTTTTCTGCATGAGGTAGAAGTCGTATTTTTCCAGCTCCAGGCACGAGAGAAGGAAAACTCGAGGACACATGATTCCTCCATCATGTAGACCCTTAATGCAGTTGCTCCGAATTTCCATGAGTATTTGGTCCTCATTGTAGCTGCTCTTTCGGAGTCTCCTGCAAGCGTTCAAGTCCGCATCAATTTTACTTCTGACAAAGTAGAACTTCTTGCCCATGCTGTTGATGGCCTGGGCCAACTGAATGTGGCAATCTCTAAAGCGGTGCGATGCGATGATAAAAAAGAAGTCAAACTCGTCGAACTTAACTAATTTCAAATACTCATTTGGCGTAAAATGTGCCGTCCCTATACCGGGAAGGTCCCAGTATATCACATTTCTAAGCCGGGGGTGTGAGTAACGTGTGGCCACCACTGTTGTCTCAACGACTCCGGTCTTTGCAGAACCTTCATCCTCGTCCCCCAGACCGCGGATGACGTTGATAAAGGTGGACTTGCCAGAGCCCGATTCTCCAGTAACCGCGATATTCAGTGGGATGTGTTCTAGGCCTACCAGGGATTTCTTGATGTTTTGAGCAGCTTGTAAAAAATCCCCATTTTCAAAGGCCATTTTCATCTCCTGCAGTTGGTTGACAGGGAAGGCGTAGTCCAGTTCTTTGTAATCCATTCCACTTTATGTATTCTGAATGCACTAGGGGGGAAAAAAGCAGTTGGATTAATGGGTTGTGGGCACTAGGTGTGCTACACATGCCCAAAAAAACTTTATTGATGTACTCAGGGATAGAGATGAGCCGAACACCCCCGTGTTCGGTTCTAACTCGAACTTTCGAACATGGAAAAAGTTCTAATTCGAACTTAGAACTCAATGCAAGTCTATGGGGGTAGAACTCAGAAAATTAAATGTCCCCATTTTGAAGCCTTATATGCAATTAATTGGCCATAAAAAGTGTATGGGGATCCGGGTACTGCCCTGGGGGACATGTATCAATGAAAAAAACACTTTTAAAAAATACAATTTTTAAAGGAGCAGTGATTTAACATCACTTAAAATGAAACATTAAAAATAAGTCGGGCTCCATAGAAAAAAAGTAAAATCGCGCAAAATCCGCCGAAAAAAGGGTCCGGTAGAAGCGACTTGCGACCGCGACGAGCGACGCGCGACATGGAGTTAAGACAGCTCCATTGAATAACATTGGCCGGCGACTTCTCGCGATATCGCGCGGCAAAAATGCGCGATATCGCGGCGGAAATCGCGCGACAATTCGCTATATGTGAACGGGGCCTATATGATGCCCAGTCCTTCTGACCTGCTGCTGACAACCCCCCCTGCATACTTGCTGGCAGTTCCCGAATGTAAAAATGACATCTGTATTAACTGCTGACAGGGGTGTCCCTAGCCCTTTTGCCACCTGAGGAGGGGGGTGCTGGTGGAATATGGGCCTGCCACCCCCTTTCCCACATTGCTAAGAGCTGGGTGGGGAGATGTGTAAGGTCTCTGCATCTCCTTGCCCAGCTCTTACCAACTTGGGACACCAGGCTGGCTGGCTTCCCACCCAGCTCCTGGCAACCAGTGACGAGCCGGACACTAGCCAGAGCTTCCTAGGTTGCTAAGAGCTGGGTGGGGAGAAGTGTAAGGTCTCTGCATCTCCATGCCCAGCTCTTGCCCACCTGGGACACCCTGGCTGGCTTCCCACCCAGCTCCAGGCAAACAGTGATGGGCGGGACACTAACTAGAGATTCCAAGGTTGCTAAGAGCTGGGTGGGGAGAAGTGTAAGGGCTCTGCATCTCCATGCCCAGCTCTTGCCCACCTGGGACCCCCTGGCTGGCTTCCCACCCAGCTCATTTGCACTGCAGCCAATCAGCTTCTCTGTTTCATTTTCAAATCTTACCTGAGCAAACTGAAGAGAGAAGCTGATTGGTTGCCATGGACAACTGCTCCAGATTCTGTTTGCTCCAGTTTTTATAAATTCCCCCCAATGTGTCCTTAAAAAGCCCCTATTAACTCCTTCTTCCCCTTCTGCCCTTCACTATTATTTTTCTAAGGATTTTATTATGTACATTTGTCTAAACATCAATTATTGAACTTTTTGGGGGTTTTTTTCGATGTGTTTATTACATGTTTTTTTGGTGTTGCATCGGTAAAGAACTTTGCAATGCTTTGTATCACAATCATAACTTCAGTGTTGTTTTAAACAGGACAAAATATAGTGGTACCTCGGTTCACAAACGCTTCTGTTCGCTTACAATTCGGTTGGCGAACAGGAAGTTCGGCAAAATTTTGCTTCTGTTTACAAACTCCACATCGGGTGACGAACACAACCGCAGCCATCTTCCCCGCTCTGACACGTGGTCGTGGCTTTCTCTAGTTGAGATTGCGGTCTGATCACAGTTTGGTTCGGTTCACGACCAGAATGGTGGAACGAATTAAAGGAGAACTATGGGATGAGTGTTTTTCCCCATAGTTCTCCTAAGGGTAAGGAGGACTATGTAAGGACACAAACTAGTGTCCTCCTGTGCCCCAAAGCTCAGTATACTGCGAGCTACAGCTTGCGGTATACTGAGACCGCCGCAGACATTACTGTCGAGATCCACCCAGCTGCGTGAGTGACAGCGGGCTCTGCCTATCTAGAGGCAAAGCCAGCTGTACCCGCCCCCCTCCCCCGTCCATTCCTCCAGTCCAGCAGGATCGGGGAGGGGGGAATCCTGCAGGGAGCGGTGACTGACAGGAATGCACCGATACCAAGTACAGTACTCGTACATGTACCGATACTTTTCGAGCTCCAAGACTAGACTAGAGAAAAATTCCAAAGTTAGGAGGCAGCTGTCATTTGTAAGGAGCACACGGAGCTCCTGGGCTTTGTACATCTCTGTTTTATTGTATGATTTGGTTTTTATAAATAAAGGGATGCAGCAATACCAGTTTTGTACGAGTACGAATACTAGTACTTGCCCAAGTACTTACAAGTACGAGTACTGATACATTTTTGTTTATTGTCATGTGACCGTTTTTCTGAAACAATACAGACTAATGATTTCAGGACAGTGGTGGAGCGCCAGAGCCCGGTCCCAGCTGCAACCCTGGTAGTTCTCATGAAAATGCCAGGTATCGGCACTATTACTCGAAATGTATCGGTGCATCCCTAGTGACAGTCATCGCTCTCTGCAGGGAGATGATCGAGAAGTGAGCGAGCGGCAGTAGGTGTTCGCTCACTTCCCGATCTATAGAGCCGGCATACGACAGTTTCATTTTCACAGGTCGGCTCGAACTATGAGGATGAGTGATTTTCACTCGCCTCATAGTTCTCCTTTTAAGTTCGTGAACCGAGGTGCCACTGTATAGAATAAAATGTATACTTTCTACAGCAGCATTTCTTTTTTTAATAGCTCTGGACTACATATACAAATGTTTTTGCTTTTTTAACTCTTTTTTTGTCTATCGTGTACAAAAAAAAAGACCAGAAGCAGCGTTGCTTAAACATGTCCGAGCCAGAAATGTACCTATTGGTCTAGCCCACAGAAGGTGTACAGGGGTGAGAGCTGAAGAGGATCGGGTCAGTGCAACGTTTTTTTTAAACTAGACAAAAACGAGCAGTGAACTGTTCTCAGTTGGGGGGAAATATTAAAGCAGAACTTTGGGCACAAATTTTTATTAAACCTTGAAGCGCGGGGGGTAGCTACACTGCAAGGGTCAGTAAAATTTGTGCCCGAGGTTCTGCTTTAGCATTCACCCCTCAAATGAAGACCCAAATTCCCCATACACAAACCAAGGTATCATTCACCTGGATACACTAAGTCGTTACAAAGATATGTAGAGTATTACTAACACATGACAAAGTGGCAAAAACTGGTCTCCGACATTAAAGTTTGTTTGACCTTCAGTCATTAAGGGGTTAAAGGGCATACTGGCACTTGTAGTCCTATTGCAGATAATGATAAAACCTATATTATGAAGCTCATACCTGGTGATTTCCAGGCTGTCTTGCTCTTCAGTCTCATTCCCTGTGCACAGAGAGGGATCTCAGTTTCATTTCTTGGTATGAGCTCACAAAAGAGGGCGGGACTTGTCAAAACTGTAAAATGGCTGCGGTGGCAGGGAAGGGGGGAGTCCCCTTTGAAGGAGGGGACTGAGATGTGTGTTACAGGACAGTAATCTGCTACAAAGAAGTCACGACTGCTAATATTGTACTAACTGAACCGGTCCGCCCGGAGTACACCCCCCCCATGGAGCAGAGCAACTGCTACGGAAATGTTTATTCAGCAATAACTTTGTCTCTACGTTACATAACAAAGTCATTCAGATATTATTATTTTTTCTTCTACTTTGATCAGTGTTATTATTTATAACGTATAAAATATATTTATATATTGTTAATGTTGATTAAAAAAAATATACATTTTATTCTATAGTTTGTCCTGTTTAAAGAGACACTAAAATTATGATTCCGGTTCTTTACAAATTTAAATAAAACCTTTTTCAACTTTTTGCTTATTTTAACGCAACGCTAAATAAAAAATAAAATGAAAAAATAACAAAAGAAATAAAAAGAACAACAAAACTCATCTGTAAAATAATGTTTAGGGGAGTGCACTGGTGCGCAGTTATGTTGGAACAGGAAGGGGCCATCCCCAAACTGTTCCCACAAATTTGGGAGCATGAAATTGTCCAAAATGTCTTGGTATGCTGATGCCTTAAGAGTTCCCTTCACTGGAATTAAGGGGCCAAGCCCAACCCCTGAAAACCAACCACACACCATAACCCCCCCTCCACCAAACTTTACACTTGGCACAATGCAGTCAGGCAAGTATCATTCTCCTGACAACCGCCAAACCCAGACACGTCCAGTGGCGTAACAATAGCCATAGCGACCCAGGCGGCCGCTATGGGGCCCGGGCCCAGCCGACGGAGGAAGAAGAGGCGGACAGGTAAGGCGTTTGACCAGCCCACCTGAGGGTGACCGTGCAGAGCCCACCATAGAGAGTCTATGGTGGGCTCTGCAGGGTCACCCTTAGGTGAGCTATGTGGGCTCTTCAAGGGGTGTAACTAGAAATCACACGGCCCCATACAAAATTTTGCTATGGGGCCCTGTGATTTCTAGTTACGCCCCTGGACATGTCCATCGGATTGCCAGACAGAGAAGCGTGATTGGTCACTCCAGAGAACACGTCTCCACTTCTCTAGAGTCCAGTGGCGGCGCGCTTTACACCACGGCATCCCACGCTTTGCATTGCACTTGGTGATGTGAGGCTTGGATGCAGCTGCTCGACCATGGAAACCCATTCCATGCAGCTCTCTACGCACTGTTGTTGTGCCAATCTGAAGGCCACACGCAGTTTGGAGGTCTGTAGCTATTGCCTCTGCAGACAGTTGGCGACTTCTGCGCACTGTGCGCTTCAGCATGCGCTGACCCTACTTTGTCATGTTACGTGGCCTACCACTTCGTGGCTGAGTTCCTGTTGTTCCCAGTTGCTTCCACTTTGTTATAATCCCAGTAACAGGTGACCGCGGAATATTTAGTAGCCAGGAAATGTCACGGATGGACTTATTGCACAGGTGACAACCTATCACGGTACCACGCTTGTAGTCACTGAGCTCCTGAGAGCGACCCATTCTTTCACAAATGTTTGTAGAAGCGTCTGCATGCCGAGGTGCGTGATTCTATACACCTGTGGCCATGGAGGTGATTGGAACACCTGAATCCAATGATTGCGAGGGGTGTCCCACTTTTGGCAATATAGTGTGTGAGTGTGTATATATATATATACTGTATATATGTATTTTTTTTAATTGTCAGGTTGCTTTAACTGAAATAAGCAAATCAAAGTGCTATCATTTAATCTGCAGATGAATTAAACAGTGAAGATGCAAAGGTTCCGATGTTACTTTGTATCTCTCCATCTCCAATCTGAACGGTGTTTATAAACATTTTGTCAGTGTCTGCTGTCATTTTTGACACCTTTTTTTTTCTTTAAAACAGCACCTTCCGGCTTTCATTTTGACACCTGGGAATTGCCGGCAAGTGTCGAGGGTGGAGCACCAGGGACAGTCCGGCTGGTGAGGAAAGGGCTAGATCCGGGGCGGGGAACCTCCAGCTGTGAAATTACAAATCCCATGATACATCTGTCTCTGGGAGTCATGCCTGTGGCTGTGAAAATCTTGCAATGCCTCATGGGATTTGTAGTTTCAACACAGCTGGAGGGCTGGAGGTTCCCCACCCCTGGGCTAGATCATGGTTCTGCAAATGGCATATGGACCTAGCGGCTAGTCCATCTAGACCAGTGACATCTAGACATGTGCACTGCCAAAAAATTTGTTTAGTTTCGTTTTAAATTCGGATTTGTGTTATTTCGTTTTTCGGGATTCGGGTGTGAAAGTCAATTCGGATTCGGAATTCGGATTCGGACGAAATTCGGTAGCGGTAGGTCGAACGTTCGTTTCGTTTTCTGTTCTTATTCGTTTCTTATTAGTTCCGTTCGTGACATTTGAGGGGGAAAAATATTTTTCTCCTTCTCTAATGTCTCTTTGCTCCAACGAACGAAACGAATAAGAAACTAATAAGAACCGAAAACGAAACGAACGTTCGTACTAACACTACCGAATTTCGGAAATGGAAATTCGGATTCGTTTGCATTCGTTATGTCTGTAATTCGGAAATCGGATACATCCGAATGTCCGAATTTCCGAAAGTTCGTCCGAATTTCGATTCGGAACGAAACGAATCGCACATGTCTAGTGACATCTGATGTCCTGCTGAGCACTGAAGAAGGACTGTATCTTCTGTCCTCTTCAGCCACCCATGGCCATCTCCACCTCCTGGCCTCTTGGCCCCTCTTAGCATCTCCCAGCTCCACCCCAGTCTCTACTTTCCAGCTCTCTGCTCAGCCTGGACAGAGAAGAGAGCTCTCAGCTCTCTGCACTGCTTTGGGACAAAGCAAAGTAGATCTGCGACTAGCCATGATACTAATGACTCCTCCTGTATGTCTGACATCATCTCTTCTAGACCTCTCCAACCCCTAATGATACAGCACTGGATCTGTACTCTCCTCACATGCAGGAAGATTTCATATTTTTAGTTTACCCAAACAACCTACCTAATGGGGCCCCCTTCCACCCCAGGGCCCCATATCCGCCACGTGGGCTATTACAGCTTTAGTTATTCTACTGTTCAGCTTTAAGTTATAAAGTTTATCAAATTTCCAATGACCATGTTATACAATAACCACAACCAATTTCAATTACTAATGGTATGTTTATTAAAAAAAATATAAAGGTTCACATTTGTCTACAGATGCAAAAAAAATAAATAAAAAAAATCTCTATTCGTATATACAGCCGTGAACTCCGCCTCGTAATTCCTACAACCAAAAGGCTTGCTGGGGATCTATACTGATTTGGTGATAAAATTGTGTCGCCCTCCAGTCAGGGATCCAGAGAGGAGCTGGTGTTCTGAAGAGAGCCGTGGAGGCCTGAGAAAAAAAGGAAATGCAATTATTATTAAATTATTATAATAGGAAAATAAGAACAAACAGGCAGAGAATAAAGCTGATACTTTTTTTTTTGACAAATAATTAAAATAAGAATGATTTCAGCTACCATGGGCACTTTCACACTATTGTCACACCAGATGTTTTCTTCTGTAGGACTGCATGAGGTTGGTGGTGTATTTGTATCTTCACAGCTACCATCATACCCGCTATCGCTCTCAGCACCTGCAACACTGGGGGATGATGGGAGTGAAGAACTTGAGACGGAGCTGTCCTCTTCTGGGGTGGGAGTGGAGCATTTGTTATCTGTGGAGGCTTTTTCCTGACCATTTATGATGCTGGTATCTGCTGGAATACGTTCAGTCCTGGAGTCAAAAATGGCCACTGTGTATGGGTAGTTTTCTTCTCCCAGCCTAGTGGTAAATAAAAGAATGTTCTGTCAAGGCTGTTATGTAATATATTTACATAAAAAATATATTATATATACATATACTATATATAGTATAAAAAATATTGTCAGCCTTACTTATAGCAGACGTAAGCAGGGAACTTGTTTCCACTGCTAGGCGTTCAGTAATCCAGACCCACCATCTACTCTCTTGCAGCACTAGTGGATACTCTCAAAAAGTACTCACCCCCGTTTTACAATAAGCTCCGTCCTTACATTTTTGGCTCACCTGCTCCTTAATCCCTACCAATAATATGGACATAAGTTTGTACGATAGGAGCTTTCACTTAGTCCTTTTGCTAGTCCTTATGCTCATCTACTGTATATTGCTCCTTGGAATGCAAAAGCAGCTTAAGAACTGAGAAACCATGTCCTGAAACCTGGATAATAAGAACCAAATGGAGGCTGGAGTCGGGTATTTTAGTGTAAGGATGTTTCGTGCATGGTCCTGGCTCCCTTCAACTCCTCGATGTAGCCAGGCAGGCTGGCAAGAATGGGTGGCCTAGTTTCTCATCCATATTGGTCTTGAGTTATGTTGTTACCAACCACAGTGGTAGTGGCTGGGTAATGCTATGGTTGGGTTCTCTTTAAGATATGAAAATGTCAAAGTTCTTGTTGCACTCCTTACTGGAAATCCCAAATGATAGTGAGGGTGCTTGAAATGACTGAGGATGGCACCTCTGTATGCATAGAATGATTGTAAAGAATGTCACAAGCACTCCGAAGATCCTTATAGAATCACCAAATGTTAACTTTATTGAACAATTTGTTAAATGGAATCCAATAAAAATAGTTTCCATTTGACAAATTGTTCAATAAAATGAACATTTGGTGATTCTATAAGGATCTTCGTAGTGCTGGTGACGTTCTTTACCATCACTCTTTAAGACATGGTCACTGGCCTACTACTGCTATGTATTGAGAATACTCAAAACAAAAACTTGTGGATTGCCTCAACATTGTCCCCTTGTACTATCTCTCCCCCTATAATACATTAGATACAACAAAAAGGGGGAAAAAAGGGTTTGTGGAGAGATAGATACAACCATTGCTTGCATAAAAATTGTATCAAGGTTTATTAGACATACAGTAAATTGTGAATAAATATGATAAAATTGGATCTCATATATTAATTATACATACACATAAATATATGCCCATTCGGTACAATCTCCGGCCAATAGCCTATGTTTATATATGTACACATACAATAAAAATGCATAATAATCCAAAATAATTAATCCAATTGCATGACTAACATGATTAACCCGATGGTCTTCAGTGTTCCATATTCAAGTGCATAGCTGACATGATTGTCCTAATACTCCTAACGTGTTTCGCAATTACAGCTTCTTCAGGGGATCGGTAATTAGTGGTCATGCATAGGCAGGGCCTGAGATAAAACCAATTGTGAGGAGGATCGAGATACTTGGGTGGCTGAGAAAACAGCCCGCCACAACATCCCCTCCTTCTTTGTGCCTGGGACCCGGGGCATCAGGGGGAGGAGGAGCTCCTGGGAAAATATCAAGAAGGCCCAGTCTACCCTGCTGGGATGTTTCTATAGGAGTCATATGGTAAGGAGTGGCTCCAATCCAGTGACGTAGTTGTCCTGATCACTCCACCTTTATCTTGACCGGATCAGGGAAATTGTGCACAACCTCAGCTGTGACTCCATATGGTGCTGGCCGCATCTATTCTCAATATGTATTGAGAATAGCTAAGAGACCTTCAAAGAAGATTTTGGCTACTCACCGGCAGGAGACTTCATAAGGGTCAATCCACAGGGTCATCTCTTTGGGCAAAGACAAGTCCTTGTAGCTGAGACCACACTGAGCGCAAGCCTCTAGGATGCTCTGATCCCTATCTTGTCTGTTGATTCTGATGCATCTGAAAAAGAAATCAGATATATTTAGATATTATACTATAAAGGGCTTCTGTAATTTCTTCACCTTCTACCTTTAACTCTGTGAACCCAAAACAGATATTTCAGATTTTCTATATTCTGGAGAGTTAAACCAACTGGCTTGGGAACTCTGTTAGTAGGATCTATCATCTTGAGTTCTGGGTCAACACATCTGGTATGGCCAATATGAGGACTTTCCAACTATCCCTAGTGGACATTTTCTTTATATTAAATATATTTAATTCAACAGGGTGAGCTAGAACACCAAAGTGGTGGGGAACACACAGAACTCCCAGATGGACATGAAAGAAGATAGGAATTATGGCGGAAGACCCCTTGGTTGGAATATCCAAGACATATAAGTAATCCAAGGTTGACTTGGCCCACCAAGGAAGTAGAGAGAAGCATTGGACAATGGCCATCTAAAGTCTTCGAACAGTCATAGGATACATATCAGTTGGGTGTGTATAATAATAAAGACTTACCTGTACGCCTGGCCCTTTATAGGCTTGTCCGGGTACCAGTGCCCAATGTATTTACGGCACAAAATCTCTGCCAACTTTTTACCGAACACCTCAATGATCATCGGATTCAACTTGTTGAATCTGTTCACCAGAGTCTTGATGTATTCCACTCCGGCAACCAGCTCGTCTCTCATCTCCAGGGGGATTCCAGCAAAGTAAATCATTGTGTCTGGAAAGACAAGAGCACAGGTGTTACATTTTACATTCAGTAGAGGCGCTTTTTACCTTCTATGAAGGTGATGTCCCCATTTATTAAGATGCAATAATAATTATCCGGGAAGCCCCTTTGGCGGGCCTCAAAGTATATCCAAAGCCAAAATTGTATTTTTATTTTTGGATACAGTAGAAAATGGTTAATACTAGGGATGCACTGATACCGATACTAGTATTAGTACAAGTAACCGTACTCGCCCAAATGCTCCTATACTTATTTCCGACACCAGAATTACTGAGGGAGCATGGAGCCAGCTTCCTTTCCAATCAGGAAGCCAGACGGTGGGTTATGACCTGTCTCCCAGCTTCCTGATTGGCTAGGAAGCCAGCTTCACTTGTTGGTAGCCTGGCTTCCAAACCAATCAGGAAGCTGGGTGGCACGTCATGACTCATGTCCTTGATTGGTCAGGAAGCCACGCTGCCTAGAAGCAAGTGAAGCCGGCTTCCTAGCCAATCAGGAAGCCGGCAGGTGGGTCATGATGTGGCACCCAGCCTTCTGATTGGCTAGGAAGCCGGCTTCACCTGTTCTAGGCAGCCTGGCTTCCTGAGCAATCAGGCACCTCAGGACTCGCCGCCCGGCTTCCTAATTGGTCAGGAAGCCAGGCAGCCTCGGCAGCCGGTGTTCTTTCACTAGAACACTCGAACTCGCTGCCTCAAGAGACCACAACATACAGGGGTACAGGTGCTCTTAAATACTAGACCACATAGGGATTCATATACACACACACATGCACAGTCACACACAGGCACACAAAGGTTGAACTTGATGGACCTGTGTCTTTATTCAACCTCAACTACTATGAAACACCGACTTCACAGGCAATCAGAAAGCCGGGCGACAGGTCATGATCCATCACCCGACTTCCTGATAATCGGGGCACACGGCACCGGTACTGGGTATCGGCGACTACTGAAAAAAAAATATCGGTACTCGTACTTGATACCAAATAATCGGTATCGGTGCATCCCTAGTTCATACCCCAGTCACTGTTCTTAAGTCTGTGTCTAATTGAGAACATGTTTCACCTTCACTTTTTCTGACTTGACTCAAGATGGAAAATGTGAGAAGATATAGTATGAGTAAGTGAATTATTTCTTAGACAATTGTCAGCATGGCAAGTGTCCTCACCAGAACATTTCCCCTCTGTTCCTGTTTCAGTGACAACTCAACATTTTAGATTGCCCCCTTTTTGACAAAGAGCACAAAGACTAATAGGGTGACCTCCCTATTGAACACTCTAACCCTCCAAACCAAACCAAGCAATGTCCTTAGATACAGGTTAGGTGCTATTGAGAACCAATGTACAACTGGTGCCAAAACCGTTGTAAGCTTTGGATAGAGTGGAGAGGGATCCGAACACACGTCAGGTTTTTATTCCTGTTCTTATTATAGAGATTCACCCTCTCTCTTTGTCCCGGTGACTGATATCACTGAAAGTGAAAGAAAATCCCACATTTTGGGTTGTCACCAAAACAGGAATAGAAGGGAAATCTTATAATAGAAACACTACTTCTGACGACCCCGCTGACCACCAGGAGTTTACCTTACTTTGGAGGTAGTTCCTCTCACTTCCTGTTGTGGCTATCAAACAGGAAGTGAAGGGAAACCTCGCCGATAGGACACAGATTGCAAAAAAAGTTGACAGGGGTTATAACTAAATCCAAAACTAAACAAAAGGTTTGGCTTCAGTTCTACTTTGAGGTAATTGTTATAGGAAGTCTACAGTTAAAACATCAGCTAGAAAAAAATGGAACCTTGTTAACATTACCAATGATTTAGGTTGATAATGAAAAAACAAATATAAAACATTGACGTGCCAACAAAAGCATTAACAAAAAAAACATTTTTGTTTTGCAATGGACATATGCGGAAAGACTTCAGGACCAGATCTGGGTGCTATCCATCAATAATGATACAGCAGGGTACAATACAATAATACAGTATGTAATATAAGAGGTATACTTTTTAGTTACAAATGTAACACATTATATAAGAATCTAACACATGGCATGTTACATACAGTAATACAGTAAACTCTCTGTTATCCGGTATTCAACTAACCAGAACTCTCATGTAACCAGAAAAAATATCCCCTGTGTACTCACTGTTTTGCTGATCTGCGGCATGTATTATCCTGGAAATGATTGTGTGTCTATTTGTCTTAATTTGCTTTGATTACTGCATTTCAATATTAATATGAAGTCAATACAGAGTTATGTTATAGTATAGTATGGGGTATGGTATAGTATGGGGCATGGGATAGTATGGGGTAGGGCATAGTATGGGGTATGGCATAGTATGGGGTAGGGCATAGTATGGGGTATGGTATAGTATGGGGTATGGCATAGTATGGGGTATGGTATAGTATGGGGTAGGGCATAGTATGGGGTATGGTATAGTATGGGGCATGGTATAGTATGGGGTAGGGCATAGTATGGGGTATGGTATAGTATGGGGTATGGCATCGTATGGGGTATGGTATAGTAGGAGGTACTGCATTCGTTAGACCTATTTTTAACAGTAACTCTTAAGCAACGAGAAGCTACAATTATCTGAAATCTACCAACCCCCTGTGGATGCCGTATAATGGGGAATTTTGCTGTATAACACATATATAAGGAAATCAATATTAATCCTGGCCATACCTCAGTGTTCCTGGTATAGATAAAGTTGATGGGATGCTCTGTCCTCCGGTCCTGGAGAAACTTCTGACCTCTCAGTGTTCACAGATGGTGTGCAATGTTTGGGGACACTCAGGATTATTTAGGACCTGCAACACAAGAGGGAGGAGTCCGGTAACTGATTTTTAATGGCACTTTCTGAATTATGTATTGAGAAGGTGATTGGCTGATTTACATGACAGAGCTCCATTGTCCAGACAATGACCACACCTGGTGCAGTCTGTCTCTTCCCTCTAAAAGTGTCGTACCTTGTGTGAGGGTCCCAATTGTTGTATTTTATTTTACTGCACCTGATTATGTCTACAATATATCTGAGATATAGGTATAAAGATAGATAGATAGATAGATAGATAGATAGATAGATAGATAGATAGATAGATAGACAGACAGACAGACAGACAGACAGACAGACAGACAGACAGATAGATAGATAGATAGATAGATAGATAGATAGATAGAGATAATGTTTATTGGAGGGATTATAGTTACTTTATACTTTCTGTAAACAAATGTACATTCATTACATAATGATATATTTATGGATATTTGTATTATTAAGACACAGATACATATTTTATAGATAAATGGATCGAAAGATAAATCGATAAATAGATAGAAATAATGATTATATTAGGGGTTATAGTTACTATAACACATCAATTACATAGTTATATATTCATGGATATTTGTATAAATAGAACATAGATACATATTATATAGATGGATCGTGAGAGAGAGAAAATAGATAGATAGATAGTCAGTCTAGATCTAAAGATAGATAGATAGATAGACAGACAGACAGACAGACAGACAGACAGACAGACAGACAGATAGATAGATAGATAGATAGATAGATAGATAGATAGAGATAATGTTTATTGGAGGGATTATAGTTACTTTATACTTTCTGTAAACAAATGTACATTCATTACATAATGATATATTTATGGATATTTGTATTATTAAGACACAGATACATATTTTATAGATAAATGGATCGAAAGATAAATCGATAAATAGATAGAAATAATGATTATATTAGGGGTTATAGTTACTATAACACATCAATTACATAGTTATATATTCATGGATATTTGTATAAATAGAACATAGATACATATTATATAGATGGATCGTGAGAGAGAGAAAATAGATAGATAGATAGTCAGTCTAGATCTATTTATCTATCTATCTATCTATCTATCTATCTATCTATCTATCTATCTATCTATCTATCTATCTATCTATGTGTGTAATATATAAGCTGTTCATCTAAAATTCATGTTGGATAATTTGTGATATCTAAAATCCATCTCCATATGGATATTATATTTATAATCTAACATTTATGTAGCACAGGGTTAGGCAACCATTGTACTCCAGCTATAATGAAACTCCAAATCCCATCATGCATATGCCTCATGGGATTTGTAGTTCCACAACAGCTGGAGTGCTGAGGTTGCCTAACCCTTGATGTCAAATTTATGTAGCTAGTTTTCATCCATGTAACATATATACACAATATATATATATGAGTTCTTTGAACCACAGTCTAATATCTTCCTCTTTTGTAGCAGAATTATAAATGTATTTTTTATCAGGAATTCTAATCCATAGACGAGATTTTAGTAACTTTTCTTCCCCTGTTTGCCAAAGTTAAACTCGTCTACAACACCCTCCTATAACATGTCTGATCAATCTGCAGTCTTCAGGATAATCACATCTCGGAGTATTATATCCTTTGCACTATAACGTAATCCAGCCCAGCCAGACCGGTGGACGGCTCCCTGGTGCCCCTTTTCACACCCCTGCCCCATACAGCTGTCTCTAACCTGAATCCCTTGTCACCGCCCCTAATCCCTCCATTACCACTTAATAAACTCTGCCCACTCTCAGCACATCAGCTTATGAATAGACATAAACAAAACCGAGCTAACACCCATCGCAGCTTATTTCACCTGCAAATGACAACTGACAGTTCAAATGCAATCCTGGACATCTTCTGTCTACGTAGATTAGCAAAACTAAACTCTTTACAGCTACTACAAAATATGTATTACTACGAGCTGTTTATGAAACAGCAACAAAAAAAACATAAAACCTTTAACAGAGTAAACTATACATATTGGATGTAAAAAAATAAGATTTCCTGTAGACAACTGGTATTCTACAATAATTGAATATAATATAGTATAAAATTACATAAATATATACTACAATATAGTGTAAAATAATCATATAATTTACCAA